GCATCTCACCAGCAAGGAACTTGTCTGAGGCAAGGAATTTTGGCCGAGAAACGCCTTAGTCGGAGTCGGTGAAAATTTAAAAATTTTTCTAACAAAGCGAACCAACCTGGAAAAGATAAAGGATGGAAAAAAAGATTTTTGCTCGAAAAAGAAGAAGACAAACTCGGACAAACTGCAAGTTTGTTCGGAGGTGAAGGATTTGGCCGAGTATTAGCCTAAAACCAAGAAAATCACCTAAGTGTCAAAGGGGCTGTTGGGACTTGGACCCAAATAGTTATCAGAGGATTTATAGCCAAGAGGAGAAGGAAAAAGCTCAGAGACAAGAAAAAGGGAAATGGGCTGTAGCAGGGCAACACATGTCACCAACCGAGAGGACCAGCTGGTCGGCAAAACTTGAACCGCAAGTTTTCTGAGTGCTGGGTACTGTTCACACACTGTTGAGGATACTGAGCGACAGGATGGGAGTCCTGAACAGAATAGGGACTGTAGTAGATACAGTATCGCCTTTATTATTTTCGCTGACATGTAGGGACAAAACAGAGATAATGGGGGACAAAATCTGTTTGAGCCGACCTAGGACTGAACCAAAGTGCTGTAGACTCGCGAGGTGTCAAGGCGGATCACTGCATGCACTGATGGGACATTTTGGGCGACAGATGTATGGTTGCATGAGCTGAACCGCGGCTACATATAGGACTGAACCCTTAAGCAAAAATTTATTCTGAGATATCTCAGCTTCTCTCTAGAAATTTTTTCAAGCGAGTTTAGAGAGAGAAAGTCCGAGAGAGTGTGAAGCAGATCGTGAAGGGGGGTCGTGGTTAGATGCGCAGGTAGAAGATAGGCGAGCGGAATCCGACTTATCGCATCAGGATAATCAAGGTGAGTCACTTTGATAATCACGGTGAGTCACTTAGTCGTGTTAAACTTGCTGACCATGGTTGGTGCAGGTGTTAAAAGGGTTGCATGGTGGTTTAATCCTTTGGGAATAAATACCTAGTGTTTGGGATTGTGTAAAGGCGGTGAATCCACGGATGCAGCCATGGAGTTTGCATTCGCAGATGTGTCGGGAGGACGGTACCAGCGTAACCGTTAAGGAAACAGTGAGATGGTAGAGTGAAACAGTAGATGAGGAGTTTATGCGGTATGTGAGGTAAGTCCCTGTTGGGCAAACAAGGGCAAGACACAGTGGGAATTCATTGAGCTTGGTTTAGGATAAGTCCCAGAAGGGTATAGGAGGGCAATAGACGGTATGAAACCGTTGAGTTTAAGAGTAAGTCCTATAAGAACAATGTAGGGAAAGAGACTGAGAAACCATTGAGCTTGGTTTAAGAAAAGTCCCGAAAAGGCAGAGGCAATACCCAGTACGTAACCGGTGAGCTTAGAATAAGACTGGGTAGGGAAAAGAGGAACAAGAGACGGTTGGCAACCACTGAGCTTAGGTGATAAGTCTTGAAAGGGCAGATTACGGGTGAGGCCCATGAGTTGTTTTAGAAATACGGGAGAGGCCCATTGTTTGGTTGCTTGTTGCGGGTGAGGCTGCAAAGTGATTGTGTGATGCATGTAGGTTCGTATGTAGGATTAGGCCAAAAAGAATTCAAGGAGGAATTTCTCGGTTAAGACACAGCCCAGAGAAGAGGCTCGGAGAGGTACTTGGGTTGCTCCCTTAACCGAGCGCTGCACGATGGTGTGACTCGACTGGTCTGTGGACCGCTTACATGGTCAGAACGTGAGCTCGCTCTGTGAATTTGTGTGGTGATCGGAGTGTGTGTGGGTGCTCATGGGGCAGATGTGTCAAAGTGTGATATATCATGGTTTTTAACCATGGTATAAGTCTTATTTATAGAGTCTTTTTAGTGTTTTTCGAGTTTTTTGGAGTCTTTACAGGTCTTAGGTACGTTTGGAGCTTAACTGGAGATTTTGGAGCAGTTTGGAGCTTAATCAGGATCAAATTCGTCAAGGATGGATTTTGTGCTTTAGTGTCGCTCGACACCATGGAGAGTGACGCTCGACACTTGTCAAAGTAATAAGGAAAAGACGATTTTGTTTCCTGTTTGAAGAAGGAGTTGGGCCCAGAAATTCCCAAATAATTCCAAGAAGGCCCAAAACGTGTTTTAGAGATATATATATAGGGTTTTTATTCCCTTTTTACGAACACCTTAGATTTTTGAGAGAGAGATACTCTGAGTTTTTGCTTTGGGCAATTTTGAGAGCTAGAGGAGAGAAGTCTGAACTCTGTCCGTTTAGAGAGAAGATTTCGAACCCCTTTATCTATTTTGATTTAATCTATTGCTTTCTATTCATCATGTTTGTTGTTCTAATAATCATGTCTGAGTAGATCACTTGTTAGGTTTAGGGTTTAATTAGGGTTTTCTTTGAATGTTCGATTAACTTGCTAGTTAGGGTTCATATCTGTTAGTTCTTCACCATAGGTTGTTCTTAAAGCTAATTCTGGACTGATCACCTAGAACTTAGATCTTAGGTTGCTTAATTGATACGGAAGTGTAATTGAATAACTGGAAAGAACCTAGGGTGAGCAAAGTAGCTATTCGCAAAGGAATTTGGTTCAGATGCTTTGTGAACATATCGAACTTGTGTATTAAATCTGGTTTAAATCTGTAGGATTTACAAAAGAATTTAGAATTATAGGATTTTAACTTAGATAATTTTCACAACGGAAGTTGGTTAGTTATAGTTCTGTGTTTCGAGCTCTAGAACCGTGCGTAAACCTGAACTCTGATTAGTCAAGTTAATCTGCATTTATTGATTTCCTGAAAAACGCCCTAGACCTAATCTTTCTCAAATCAAACTTACATCCTTTTACTGTTGCCTATTTATTTTCATTCTGAATCGCTATTTATTTCCTATATTTCCGCTTAGCGTAATTCGAATCCTATAAGGTTTATTGAGTGATCTCTTGTCTCTGTGGTTCGACCCCTACATACTACAACTGCACATCTGTGCTCTTGCAGAGTAGCTTAGGGATTAAACTTTGAGCATATCAAGTTTTGGCGCCGTTGCCGGGGACTTGATTTCGCCATTAAACCTAATTTTTGAGTTTCGACTAAGTTTTTCTTAGTTTCAAGCGAGCGCGACACCTTTCGTTTTTATAACCTAATTTAATTATTTTGTTTTCTCTCTTTGGTTTTGGTGCTTCAGGTTTATGCATACTTGTGGAACCAGAAGCAACAAGGACATCCCGCTAGTGAATTTGAGCAACGAGGAGCTAGCTGAGTTAGAGCGAACGAACAGAAAAGCAAAAGATACGGCAATGATGGAGAACGCCAACGGACTTGTTCGTGATGATGCTGGAGTCTGGAGAGACCAAGAGGGTCATGTGTGCAATGCGAGAGGCCAAAGGCTTGATGGAGATGGTAACATCATTCCACCAGCACCTTTACCAGTGGATGTTGTTAACCAGAATCCACCACCTGCACCGCGTGGTAATGCTGCGATCGTTCCAAATCAGAGGAACGTTCCAAAAGATTAGAATGTGAGGGAACCTGCACCTGCAAATCGGTCTGGGATTCGCGCCCCTGCGTTTCAAAGGAACGATTTTGAGCTGAAACCTGTGTACTACACTCTTGTGGGTCAGCATCCCTTTCATGGTCACTCTCATGAGCCCCCTATAGATCACATCGAGAGATTATAGGACTTGGTCACCAGCATAAAATACAATGGAGTGTCCAATGATTTCCTCCTCTGCAAGCTGTTTCCTTATTCTCTTGCTGGAGAAGCAGCTAACTGGTTGAAGCAGTTGGAGCCATGATCACTCACTACTTGGGAGGAGACCAGGAATGCCTTCCTGCACAACTTCTTCGATGATGCTAGGTCTGAGGAATTGAGAACAAAAATCTCGACATTCTCTCAAGAACCAACTGAGGCGTTCAAAGCTTCTTGGGTGAGATTTAAGTTTTACCAGCGAGACTGCCCCCATCATGGCTTCTGCGATGTGCAGCTGTTAGGTATCTTCTTCAGAGGTATTGATTGGAGGTATCAGATGGCTCTTGATGCAGCGAGCAATGGAAATTTCAACACCAGATACCCAGACGAAGCTGTTGAGCTCATCGAAAACTTGGCATCTAGCAATAGCACCAAGAATGCCAATCTTGAGCGGAAGAAGCAAGCTGGGAACATGGATAGATCGCAGATTGCTGAGGTGAAAGCTAAGCTTGACTCTGTGCATAGCCTTCTAGTGGGTAAGAAGTCTGTCAGACTCGCACAGGAAGTGGAGAGTTTCGAGCCTGAGGATGAAGCTGAGGAGGAAAATGTCAACTTTGTAAATGGATCAGGGTTTCGGGGTCAGAGGTTTGGTAATCAGCAAGGTAACATAAGTTACAGTGGAAACAATCAGAGGAGCACCTTCAACAGTTATCAGAACCTCTCTGGTTACACGCGTAAGCCTCAGTACCAGAAGCCTTACTCCAGCAACAGTTTTTCCAGAAACTACACCACTCCTTCAGCTCAACCTCAAACTCCTGAAAATGAGATTCTATGCTGGAAAAAATTCTGGAAGGTCAGCAGAAACTCACCGTGGACTTCAATGGAAAGATGGATGCTCTCTACCTTGATCTGAATGGGAAAATCGAGGCTTTGAACACCCATGTTAAGCAGCTTGATACCCATGTTACCCAGGTTGCTCAAACAGCAGGATCTGTGAAACGACAAGAAGGTTTTCTTCCTGGGAAGACTGACACCAATCCAAGGCATCACTGCAGTGCCATCACATTGAGGAGTGGTAAAAATTTGAGTTATGAGCCCAAGAAGACACCTCCTGCAGCTGAGGTCGTGGATTTGGAAGATCCTGAAGAAATTCCTGAAATTGCAGAGCCGGTGTCGAGCGACACCACAACCAGTGTCGCACGTCACCAATCGCAGAGCGAAGCTGATATTGCTCCAAGTCTGAAATCTACTGAGGAGAAAGTCTACAAACCTAAGGTTCCTTACCCAAGGAGCCTAGGAAGTCCAAGCAAGAGCTAGATGATGCACGATGCAAGGCTTTGATGGAAAAGCTTGTGATAGAAATCCCTTTGGTTGATGCTGTGAAAATCACTCCTGTTATCAGGCGTTATGTGAAGCGATTGGTGACCAATAATCTCAGCCATGAACAAGGAGTGATGATGATTTCTGAACAAGTCAGTGCTGTGATTCAGAATCAAATTCCAGAGAAGCTGACTGATCCAGGAAGCTTTGTCTTGGATTGCTCCATCTTCACGGATAGATTCAAGAGATCGCTGTGTGATCTGGGTTCAAGTGTCAACCTCATGCCATATTCAGTCGCTGTCAATCTCGGCATGACTGACTTCAAGCCAACAAGGATATCTCTTATCCTGGCTGATCGATCGAGAAGGATACCTGAAGGAGTGTTGGAAGATGTTCCAATCAAGATTGGAGACTGCATGATACCGACTGACTTTGTGGTTCTGGAGTATGGAGAGGAGCCTAAAGATCCTCTTATCCTTAGGAGACCTTTTCTAGCTATAGCAGGTGCTATCATCGATGTCAGGAAAGGCAGGATCGCTCTGAATGTTGGAGATCTGGTGATGAACTTCGATATGGACAAGCTGATGAAGAAGCCTACAATTGATGGTCAAACCTTCTATGTGGACACACTCACAGAATTCGCAGAGGAGATCTTCCATGAGATGAGACCCACAGACCCACTGGAGGGAGCTTTGACCACATCTGCAACTGAAACTGAGCACTTGGACGAAATTTCAGCATCTTACTTGAAGATGTTGGATTCCAGCGAGCATGTCATGCAGTTGGCAGCGCAGATAGATCAACTTGTGCCTCCTGCAAAGGCCAAGCAATTCTCTGACTGGAGTGAAGAGAAAGCGCCCAAGATCGAGCTTAAACAGCTCCCTGCAGGGCTAAGGTATGCATTTTTAGGATCTAACTCCACTTATCCAGTCATTATCAATTCTTCTTTGAACAACGCATAGGTTACCTTACTGCTGAGCAAGCTGCGCAAGTATCGCAAAGCTCTTGGCTATTCTCTTGATGATATTTCAGGTATACTCATCAGATCTGTGCATGCATCGAATTCACCTGGAGGATGAATCGAAGTCGTCGATCGAACACCAGCGCAGGTTAAACCCTAATTTTAAAGAAGTGGTCAAGAAGGAGATCATGAAGATGTTGGAAGTTGGGAACATCTATCCAATTTCAGATAGTGATTGGGTCAGTCCTGTGCACGTGGTTCCTAAGAAAGGAGGAGTTACAGTTGTGAAGAATGACAAAGATGAGCTGATCCCAATGCGCACAGTGACTGGACACAGGATATGTATCGATTATAGGAAGCTGAATGCAGCAACCAGGAAAGATCACTTTCCATTGCCCTTCATTGATCAGATGCTGGAGAGACTTGCAAAATATCCCTATTACTGCTTCTTTGATGGTTATTCAGGGGTTTTCCAGATTCCTATCCATCCAGATGATCAAGAGAAGACAACTTTTACATGTCCATATGGCACTTTTGCTTATCGCAGAATGCCTTTTGGACTTTGTAATGCTCCTGCAACTTTCCAGAGGTGTATGATGGCTATCTTCACTGACATGATTGAAGATTTCATGGAGGTCTTTATGGATGATTTCTCAGTTTATGGATCATCTTTTAAAGACTGTCTGGATAATCTCTGCAAAGTATTGGCTCGCTGTGAAGAGAAACACTTGGTCCTTAACTGGGAAAAGTGTCATTTTATGGTCAGAGATGGGATTGTTCTTGGACACAAAGTTTCTGAAGCTGGTATCGAAGTAGATCGTGCAAAGATTGACGTCATGATGAGTTTGCAACCACCTGATTCTGCGAAATCGGTTAGAAGCTTTATGGGTAATGCAGGGTTTTATCGTCGATTTATCAAGGACTTCAGCAAGATTGCACGTCCTCTTACTGCTCTGCTATGCAAGGATGTCAAGTTTGAGTTTACAGACGAATGCTTTGCTGCGTTTGAACAGATCAAACAAGCTCTGATAAGCGCCCCTATTGTGCAGCCCCCTGACTGGAATTTGCCTTTTGAGGTGATGTGTGATGCCAGTGATTTTGCTGTTAGTGCTGTTCTTGGACAGAAGAAGGACAAGAAGCTTCATGCAGTCTACTATGCCAGTCGAACTCTGGATGATGCTCAAAGAAACTATGCTACTACTGAGAAAGAGTTGCTGGCTGTGGTCTTTTCTTTTGAGAAATTTCGACCCTACCTTGTGGGATCGAAGGTTATTGTGCACACAGATCATTCTGCACTCAAATACTTGATGCAGAAGAAGGATGCAAAGCCAAGGTTACTGCAATGGGTTTTACTTCTTCAGGAGTTCGATATTGAGGTCAGAGACAAGAAGGGTGTTGAGAATGGTGTTGCAGATCATCTCTCACGCATCAGGGTTGAAGAGGACGTACCCATAGATGATTTTCTGCCAGAGAAGAATGTATACTATGTGGAAAACTGGGTTTCAGAGCAGATTTGACAAATAATTGCAGGCTTTTCAAATTGGAGAAACGTTAGTGTCAAGCAACACCACCACTAGTGTCGCGCGACACCTTGCGCAGCAGAACACAAAGACTTCTAAAATTCGAAGCAGACTTCCTGAGATCAGTTCAACTGCTGTATCTGCCACACAACGTCCTTGGTATGCTGATATTGCCAATTATCTCACTGCAGAGGCTGAGCCTGAGAACTTTAAGGGGTACGCAAAGAAGAAGTTCCTGAGAGAGCTGAGGAGATATCACTGGGACGAGCCATATCCGTTCTAATGGGATTTACAGAAGAAGCATTGCAGAGTCAAAAGTTCCAGAGGTGCTGTTTCATTGTCATGGATCTGAATATGCTGGACACTTTGCGACCTTTAAAACAGTGTCTAAGGTTCTTCAAGCAGGCTTTTGGTGGCCTACAATGTTTCGCGACGCACATGCCTTTATCTCGCAGTGTGATGCTTGTCAGAGGAGGGAAGATCAGCAAGCGACATGAGACGCCACAAAATTTCATCTTTGAGGTTGAAGTATTCGATTGCTGGGGTATCGATTTCATGGGTCCTTTTCCCTCTTCTTATGGGAATAAGTATATCCTGGTTGCTGTTGATTATGTTTCTAAGTGGGTCGAAACCATTGCCAGCCCCACCAACGATTCTTCAGTGGTTCTTAAGATGTTCAAGACCATCATCTTCCCTCAATTTGGAGTGCCTCGAATTGTTATAAGTGATGGTGGTTCTCACTTGATTAACAAGGTTTTCGAGAAACTCCTAAGGAAACATGGAGTTCATCATCGAGTTGCAACTCCTTATCACCCTCAGATGAGTGGACAGGTTGAAGTCTCGAATCGACAGATCAAGGAGATCTTGGAGAAGACAGTGGGTAAAACTCGGAAGGACTGGGCTGCGAAGTTGGACGATGCACTCTGGGCGTACATGACAGCGTTCAAAACACCTCTAGGCACCACAACTTTCCACCTGCTCTATGGAAAGCCTTGTCACCTTCCAGTGGAGATCGAACACAAGGCAGCTTGGGCGATAAAGATGATGAATTTCGACATCAAGTCTGCTGCAGAGAGGAGACTGATACAGCTAAATGAGTTGGACGAGATCAGGCACCATGCCTATGAGAATTCGAAGCTGTACAAGGAGAGGACCAAGGCGTATTACGACTCGAAAATCCTCTCCATGCAATTCAAACCGAATGACCAGGTACTTCTGTATAACTCTCGTTTGCAATTCTTTCCTGGTAAACTGCGTTCTCGTTGGTCAGGTCCTTTCATAGTCAAGGAAGTTGGACCCTATGGTGCCATCGTCCTCCTCACACCAGACAGCAGCAGGGAGTTCACTGTGAATGGACAAAGGGTGAAACACTACTGGGCCAAAGCTGCGATTCCAGATGGACACATAGTTCCTCTGGATGGTGCCCCTCCTGTCTGAATCACCATCAAGTCAAGCTAATGACTTTAAACAAGCGCTTGGTGGACGGCAATCCACTGGTAAGTCTGTACATAAGTTCAGTTGATTTTCGTTTTTTGTTTTCATGTTCTAGGTGCAGAAGCTGGTGTCAAGCGACACCACCATCTGTGTCGCCTGTCACTTGTTTCTGTCAAAAAAAAAAGAAAAAAAAATTAGGAATTCAGGAAACCGGTGTCAAACCAGAAATTCGGATTGGTCTGCTGCAATTCGGTACAAGGAGAACAAGTGTCGCACGACCCCATCATCGGTGTCGCTCGACACCCTCATTGCAGCCAGGTAAATTCTCTGTTTTTCCTGCATTTCTCTGTTTCCTTTCTTTTGTTTCGCCACCTTCAGACTAGATAACACTGGGGACAGTGTTGTTTAAGTCTGGGGGAGGTAGTCGCTGACATTGTGTTTGTTTTTCTTAAGAGTCAGTAGTGTCAAATTGTTTTTGAGTCAAAACTTATTGGAGATTATGATGCTTTTCCTAGAATTATTGTGCTGAACTTTCATCTAAGTGACCACTGCTGCAGATTCAGTCTAGATCCGACTAATGAAAAATCCAAAGGCTGACCAGTTGACTAGAGGCGTCCATGTTTCCAACATAATCCACTAACCTGAGCTAATTTCTGAACTCTTTCTTTTACCTCATTGATGTGATCGATGTTCATAGAGCTTGATTCCTCGTTCATAGTTGACAAATGAAAGCCTGTGTGAAATCTAATGTTGGTGTTTCTATCCCTTGTGACGAGCTAAAAAAGTGAAGAAAGAAAGAAAAAGGCGAAAAATATTGAGATGATTTTCGCTTAGGAGTCAAGGGCTAGGAAAATTTCCAAGGATCCCATCATTTCACTTCTAAGTTGGAATGATCACACAAAGGAAGGAAGCGAGGGGTAGGAAAGTTTCCTATGACCCCATTATTCGCCGAAAACCTTTGATACAAGATAAGGGGACAACTCGGGGACTCGATGGCAAACACCATCAGTACTCGCAGCTTTAACCTTATCGAGGATATGCCATAAAAGAGATGATGAGTGTGCGAAAAGAATAAGTCTAGGGGAGAGAAAAAGTACCAAAGTGTGTATGGCTGATTTGTTTGAGTATAGTACGGGTAAGAGTCTAGAAGGTTCTTGGCATTTGAATCATCAGTGAGATCCAGCGATGAGGGTTTATGGACAATGTTGTGGAATTTTGGACTTAATCTGGGAAGCTGTGAATGTCTGCGGAGAAGTACATGGTGGTTCGATTTGGAATGATGAAGCAGTAGTTGAGTTGCAGAGCGATTGGTCAAAAGCGATGTTCCAATGAAAGGTTGAGTCTCCGTGTTTTTAAACCTCTTTCTCTTATTTGGTATTCTATTTGCTTGAGGGCAAGCAAATGCTAAGTCTGGGGGAGTTGATATATCATGGTTTTTATGGTTTTTAACCATGGTATAAGTCTTATTTATAGAGTATTTTTAGTGTTTTTCGAGTCTTTTGGAGTCTTTACAGGTCTTAGGTACGTTTGGAGCTTAACTGGAGATTTTGGAACAGTTTGGAGCTTAATCAGGATCAAATTCGTCAAGGATGGATTTTGTGCTTTAGTGTCGCTCGACACTTGTCAAAGTAATAAGGAAAAGACGATTTTGTTTCCTGTTTGAAGAAGGAGTTGGGCCCAGAAATTCCCAAATAATTCCAAGAAGGCCCAAAACGTGTTTTAGAGATATATATAGGGTTTTTATTCCCTTTTTTACGAACACCTTAGATTTTTGAGAGAGAGATACTCTGAGTTTTTGCTTTGGGCAATTTTGAGAGCTAGAGGAGAGAAGTCTGAACTCTGTCCGTTTAGAGAGAAGATTTCGAACCCCTTTATCTATTTTGATTTAATCTATTGCTTTCTATTCATCATGTTTGTTGTTCTAATAATCATGTCTGAGTAGATCACTTGTTAGGTTTAGGGTTTAATTAGGGTTTTCTTTGAATGTTCGATTAACTTGCTAGTTAGGGTTCATATCTGTTAGTTCTTCACCATAGGTTGTTCTTAAAGCTAATTCTGGACTGATCACCAAGAACTTAGATCTTAGGTTGCTTAATTGATACGGAAGTATAATTGAATAACTGGAAAGAACCTAGGGTGAGCAAAGTAGCTATTCGCAAAGGAATTTGGTTTAGATGCTTTGTGAATATATCGAGCTTGTGCATTAAAGCTGGTTTAAATCTGTAGGATTTACAAAGGAATTTGGAATTCTAGGATTTTAACTTAGATAATTTTCACAACGGAAGTTGGTTAGTTATAGTTCTGTGTTTCGAGTTCTAGAGCCGTGCTTAAACCTGAACTCTGATTAGTCAAGTTAATCTGCATTTATTGATTTACTGAAAAACGCCCTAGACCTAATCTTTCTCAAATCGAACTTACATCCTTTTACTGTTGCCTATTTATTTTCATTCTGAATCGCTATTTATTTCCTATATTTCCGCTTAGCTAATTCGAATCCTATAAGGTTTATTGAGTGATCTCTTGTCTCTGTGGTTCGACCCCTACATACTACAACTGCACATCTGTGCTCTTGCAGAGTAGCTTAGGGATTAAACTTTGAGCAGATCAAAGTGGTGCATGTTCGGTGGAACATGGCACGTTTAGGGGCCCTTGCATGGTGTAGTTAATATTTGTAGATGCATTTAGAATAGTGATCTAAGACATGTTGGCATGAGTAGCTTCCGCTGTGTGGTGATTTAGCGAGTACATTGAGATTGCTTGGCTTGTGTTGTCCATTGCTTTCCATGTTACGTGAGCTTCAGCTATGTTCTTGTAATATGGTGAAAATGTGTGTTAGGGTCAAGACTCACTGAGTATTGGTGAATACTTATGACTCTTTTGATATCTTGCAGGTAGCCATAGAAACCGGGAGCATAGAGGAAAGGCTACAGATACTAGGAGAAACAGAGTAGATTGCAGTGTTCTTGTAAGATCTTTATTTATGTAAAGTAAATGAAGTACAATTTTGTGATAAGATGCATCGAACATTATGTATTAAAAGATGGTTTTGTAAAAGAGTTTTCAATATAAAATAAAGAAGTAATTTTCACAAAACCTCGACTTCATGATATTAGACCTAGTCTGGGTCGAAACAACTCGGATTCACAGTACGGGTTGAAAATCCTTAGACTGTAAGCTCGAGGAACGGTTTCAGTCACAGATTAGCATGAGTAGTATGAGATACTCGGACCGATCAGTGTCCGTCTTCGCATTGTAACTCTCCAGTCTCGATCTAAGTAATAGACTTGGGTCAGGGATGTTACAGACCTGCTTAGCTCACAACCCAAAGACTGACCCGGTATACTAACTTCGGGTCAGATAAAATCTTATAAATACTTTATCCCTTCCAACGAGGAATGGGTTCACTCTTTTAACAATCTTAAGGTTCATATTTCTCTCTAGATATTTGCGATCCTTGAGTTTTAGCATCTTATACTCTCTGCTCATTACTCCAACCAAGTCTTCAGTTCCTCTCCATGGCGGTCCTTAAACCATAGAGCTTTTCCACCCGCAAACTCTTTCATTTCTTCTATTTTTACCACAAAAGCCCATCACCACTTAAAGGCCCGAGTCAATTCCACCCTTCTCATGAACGCTTGGCCTACTTTTCTTCTCTCGTTTTCTGAACTCTTTCCTCTCTCTCCTTTTCTAACAAGCACAAGGCCTAATATGAACTTGGAGCTGCAAAATACCTTTCAGACCATTCAGGGCTACTTCAGCTAATAGGTGCCTTCCCCGTTCGTCCCAATTCGTGGTCTTTTTCATTGTTTTATGACTTGAGCGCCGGAGAGCATTCGGAAAACACACTTCCATCGTGTTTTTCAGGCTTTCCTGTACTTTCTGGTTTTGCAGGAGACTTGCCTCCGCAGAAGACTAAAAATCTCCTAAACAAATATAATTTAAATATATAATTTTAAATAATATTTTCATAATACTGCAAATGAAAAAAAACCCACAAATTCTATCATTATTTGTATATTTACAATAACAATAAACATAATATTAATTCAAATTTAAAATGTTTAAATTTAAAAAATACTTTTATAATAACAGAGATGGTAAAAAATATATTATTATAGTTTTTATCATATTCTATCAGTTTAAAATTATAAATATTCAAAATTAGTAATTATTTGTATGATATGGTTATAAGATTGAGCGGATTGAGTTGTCAAAACATGCAATTTCTTTGCGAATTAGGTTGTCAAAACATGCAAGATAATTGACTAATTTGAGGTGGGAAAGCGTCCAATTTGTGTTTCAACTGTACATTCGGGTACCGATTAGTGCCTGTACTTTGTTGCTGTGCCCACAATATCTGAATTATGAATAATGAGAATATTCATGCCTGAACTTAATTTTTTTGGCTGAATAATGCATTAACTTTTTACTCGTTACTCAATCCCGCCAAATTATTAACGGAGCCGACTCACCTGTCACGCTGGAATCTCTGTTGGAACAGATAATATGATGTCGTTTTGTGTGTTAAACAGGGAAAAAAATTATGCATGCTCAAGATGTCGAACCCTGCACGCACCCACAACCCAACAAACCCAGAAACCATTAGGCTAGATTAAATTCAAAATACATGTATCGATTAGTACATGTATTTTGTTATTGTGCCCATGATATCTGAATTATAAATAATGAGAATATTCATGCCTGAACTTAATTTTTTTTTTCTGAATCATGCATTAACTTTTTATCCGTTTCTCAATCCCTGCTCAAGATGTCGAACCCTGCACACACCACCAACCCAACAAGCCCATAAACCATTAGGCCAGATTAAATTCTTAGTATTATGTCACAGCCTTATAATTATATTATATATAACCGCATAGCCATTATTAAAAAATAAACAAATACGATGTCGTTATTGTATCTTCTTCTCCCTTTCTCTTCTAATTCCAGCGATTCCTCGATTCTCCCTCAGAGATCGCCGGAGCAGCTTAAATTGCTCAGAA